TAATTGATTTTGGGAAATCTTGTACTATAATTCTACAGCTCCTCCAACTGCTTGAAGATCTTGTGGTCTTGTTTATGTATTCAACATGGCTACTTTGTTCCCCATTTGCTCAGGGAAACTGCAGCTTGCCCCTATAGTTTTTGCAGGTGAAAGAGCAAGCAGTAAACAAAGCAGTCCCTTAATGTTTTTCTTTCCTGTGTGGTTTGCTGTGATTAAAACCACGGTGTTATTACAAATGGGGATACAGAGTCTGATCAGAGGTTACGAAGAAACAAAAGGCATGTCAGGCAAAGAAAGAGGGTATGTTAGGTTGGGAACCATAGATACAATATTAATGTATAGGGATGGGATGAAAAAAAAGGGATGGGAATGATAAGGAGGGAAATATTGGCTTCCTCATTTATTCAGGTTGACCAAATGGGAATGAAGATAAGCTGTAGCCTTACTGTGCCTGGAGGTGGGGGCGCCTTAACCAGTTAGCAGGAAAGAGTGTTTTAAATGAACAAGCTGGATTTAATTGGGAGAGGATGTCATGAATGGCAGTTTGTCTGTATGTTTTCGTAATGCCCTTGAGGACAGTCAGGCCTGGGTGTTCATTCGTACTTTAAGCAATAGATGTAATCAGTTTCTAGAGAGGTTTCAGCTGGATTTGTGGCATGGACCATGCCTTGAGTGCAAGGCTGTTGGTGTCAGCGTCATATGGGTGATCGTGTGTGCACGGCTGCTCACAGCATATTCACCAAATATATTACCAATCCCAAGAGTTCTGCAAATCAAGTAAACTCAATTAAGATTTCCAAAACCATAATCACAGTACAGTTTATTACGAATTTGATACTGTTTAATTTACTGTCAAACATGGAAGTGGTGTAGAAATAGTCCTTTTGCATCAGCTATGGAAGAAAACCGTGCCGTGGCATCTTCCTGTATAACGTTAGCGTATTTAAGAATGCATTCTTTTGAGATATATGAGGAGACAAGTCCAAATGAGATAAAAACATTTTGACTGTCGTTAACTGGAGAAAAAAGTAACCGTATAAACCAAAGCACAGGGAATTCATTGTTTCAAAATGAGACAAGGAGCTTTCACCGCAAGAGTTGCCGCATTGGGTGTCCAATAAGGCTGACTAAGTCATATAAATGAAGCAAGGACAGATGTGGTATTGAGGTGTCTGGGGAAAGCAGCTTGAGCTCATGAATATATGGTAACTCTCAGTTACAGTATTCTCTATCGTGCACATTAAATACACTTACTTTAAATGTATTTACTGAAACAAAATTAACTGTGCTGAGAAAGTTTGCGAATACATACGCTAGTGGTGACTGTTAAAGTTGGCAGTTGCCTTAGATAACCAAAGTATATGCAGTTGCATAACCGCAGTTATTTGCACTATTCACAGTATTTGCACTATTCAAAGTATTTCCTGTAATTGAAATCTAGTGCATTTGTGATACAGTGGCCACGGTGCGTGCCATGAAGTAGTTCTTGTTGTAGAAGCGGATCTGGAATCTGAATTTTCAATTAAAATAAAATTCCTGACTTCTGGACACCTTTCTCTTGCGTTTCCAAACAAATTTAAGCACTTTGGTTGCATGTCTGAGTTTGCAAATGGCCTGAAATAAATACTGTGATGATACGATCAGGTTTTTAATGGTATTCTGGCTTAGAAAAGTGTATGATGATGTGACAGTGCCTGCTGTTTCTCTGCAAGTGATTCTTGCAGAAACATACAGCTATGGTATTGAGCCAAAAGATTGTAGGTTCTTGAATTCTTTGCCAGATTTGAGATTTCCCTGCACGCGTGTGCAAGTATTTGGCAGAAGTATGTAGAAGAAGCTTGCTTTGCTTTAATCCAAGTTAGCCTTGAGCATGGACAGTGTAAGTTAATGCCTTGATAGTCCTAATTATGTTGTAAAAATCTTCAAAATGAGTAAATCTGTGTTGTTGTCCCTTTTTAAGAAGGGGTCTTATAGTGAACTGCAAAAAACCCGCAAGTGAATAGCTCCAGGTGTTTTTAAGATGCTCGACTACTTACATGTTTAGTTTTGAATTTTGTGTTATTTCTTGTGAAGTGTTCTCAGTGAATGTTGCAGTCTGGAAATGGGCACTCAAGTAGTATCAGTGGCACCACTTCTTGCTTACGCTGTGGTGGGTTTTTGTTCTTGGTAATGCTCGCAGAAACAGACCAGCTGAAGGTAGTGTTGGTTTGTAGTCCTTCACAAATTTACCAATTTTCATTCAATAGGATGCTTGCAAGTATTGTTCGAAGAGTGAAGTGTTTCAGGAAAGAGAAGTCTCAGTTGCAGAGGAAGAACGTCCCAGGTGTCTGGCACTTACTAAGAGGTTATGAACCAAGCACACTTGATACAAAAAATTATTTGGCAGTAATAAAATTGATAGAATTTTACAATACTATTTTTAGACAGGCTCAGCTAGACTTTATTTTGAGCTATCAGATATAAATTGCCCTTTAATGCTGTGGTTTATTTGCAGACTATAGGAGAGAGTAATGTGTTTTACTGATGATGGCAAATATTTTGTAGTAGTTGTTCTGAGTTCTTGCCAATTTGGTCAGCTTCAGGAAGAACTTGTTTAAATTTGGCTAGGGGGGAAAAAAAGGCAACAGATTGACAAAAAGTCTAAGTGGTGCCTAAAGAAATGGAAGATGACACAGCATGATCATTTCCAAGTAGAAATATAATAATAAATATAAAATACAAAATTGTGTTTCAGATATTGAACTGTTACAAAAATTCACGATGAGACATGCTAAACCTGGTCGTCATATCTGTTGTGTTTAGCTATAGGCAAACAAATAGGAACAAATTCTCTCATCTGAAAGGCTGAAGAGCTGTGAGATTGTTTAAAAGAAATGAACAGATTGCATTGTGTGGGAGAACTAACTTGGAAAAATCCGGGTGAGTCTTGGTAGAAAACTGAGAGAAACAATAGAAGAAAGGAATGTAAGGGAACTTGCCCCAGAACAAAAAGTGTTGCTCTCAGGAAATTGTTGGCTGAATGGCAAGACTTGCTTGAAATTCAGGCGAAAGATGGGCATGTCCTGAATGACTGCGCCTGGAAGAAAACTCAGGAGAACATTTTTGACATGAATACCTAAAGAGAACAGAAAATTTTAAAAGAAAGTACATACAGGTGGTGTTTTAATGCCACTCCTATTTCTCTGGAAGGATTATGGTTGTCTGTAAGGGCACCTGATTATATTGCAACAGGAGGAGTAATGCAAAAAATTTCCCTATTGGCAACAGTTTCATCTCAGTAATCGTTTTTGGAAATATGTGGTGACCCTTCAGCTTCTTCACAAAAGGATTGCTTGTTGTTTTTAAACATGTATTCTTTGGATTATTGGTGCAACAATAGCTGACTAGAATTCTCTAGAATTCTGTTATGCAGGAGGTAGTATTTTACTGGAATGATTCCTGTAATTGTAAAGTCTGTGAGCAGCCTGTTTTCTTAGCTGAGTGTGTGCTTGAAGGCTCGAAACTTGCATGTCAAATCAGCCCCGTCTTTGGGGATGAATGACATATCTACGCACTTAGGTTGATTTTTGTATAGTGTGCCAGATCTGAAAGCCTCCGCTCACATAGGGATGTTGGGTAACTGGGCTCCGGTAGGTTGTAGATGGACAAGTGTGTGGTACTCAGCTGTAACCTGCAGAGCAAACAGCCCGTGTGTTGTGTGTCACTGCTGCGTCACCCGCGTCAGCAAAGCCTGTGGGAGAGGTTACGGGTGTTTGACAGCCTTCTGTCTGGAGTCCATCCTCTCCCAAACAGCATTTCTGTGCTACTGTGTCGAAAAAGCTTTTTGTCCTCATTCAGGTAATTGTTTAATGCGGCTGTATTAATGACACTGAGGGTTGAGTTTAGCAAGAACTGAGTAGCTGTTACGTGATTAATAGGGGTGAGTTCTTGGAGGTTAACAAAGCAGTGACCGTGCTTTTTCCACAGAAAAAGACATTTCTCTTCCCCTTGTGACAACCTGCTAAAAAAAAAAAAAAAAAAAAAAAAAAAGCATTTGAACTATTCCACATGTTTTAAATGTCAGTCCTTCCATCTGAATTGCAAATATTTTAGTGAAAGAAAACCCTGAGCCTGCTCTTGAATTCATTCAATAAATAGGGCTCTTTCAGGTTGAGAGAATTACAGTGGGACTTCACTAACCCATGTGCTCCTCTGCGCTGGAGTTGAACAGGGAAGCTGTAGGAGGGCCTCTGCCACGTTAAAGTCCTGCTGCCACAAAATACTCCCAGTTTGCCCTAACGGCATGAAGGGATATTGGAAATAAAATGACATTAAACCTGTTAAAATAAATGACCCAAGTACATTTTATAGAGCAGCTTCGTTATGTATCCACTTACTCACTGGTTTAATACACTGAGTAACTCTTAGTGGGCATATGAGTAATTAACTTGGATTTACTGTAGTCCATCTAGTGGCGATTATAAAACAGCTGTAAAGAACCGAGCGTGTATATCAATTTTTATTTCCCCTGTTTCTGCTCAGAATTACTTTGGGCTTGGGAAGGAGAATTAGTGAAAGCCTGTGTGCAAGGCAAGGGCTGTGAAAAGCTGCTGTTTTCAAACGGAAGCTGTCAAATAGCCTGTGTTTATTTTGCTGAATTTAACAACAGCTTTTAAGAGCTGTTCTGGTGGAAATTCTAGGCACAGGGAATATGCAGTCACAGTAACGTTGTGTTAGGACGTAAGAAATTAGAAATTGAAATAGACTTGAGAAAAATATTGACTTGGCTGTCTGGCCAGATTGTATTAATTGAATGATGAATTAAATTAACGGTGCGCAGTAATAAAGCAGCGAACTGGAACTGATTGCCGGTGTTTGTAAGGCTTCTCAATTTTTAAAAATCAGCTCTGTTACTAGCATGCTAATTTGTACCATTTTTAACAACTTTATCTGCTTACTCTGCTGATAATTCTGTATGGCTTAGTGAATTTGATTAACAAGTTTTTTTTTTCTGATTCTAGAGTTACTTTGTTAGAGCTGATGATGGCAAAATTAAGTGAGAAGAACCAGATTACCAGTGAAGAAATGAATGTGTTCATGAAACATGCTGACTTCCTTGCAGGCTGTTTCCAAGAGAAATGTGAAGCTGTGCTCAAGTTAACTTCTGCAGCGGATGCAGAAGATGAGGTATGACTGATGAAAAAACATTATACTGCTAGAATCTGAAGTGGTGAGTCTTTATTGCCGCTGTTACCCAAGTGACACCTGTGTACATTCCCAGTTTTTATTGGGAAAGCAGCAGCAGAGTTCACGGTAGAATCTATAAGACAGCAGCCCAATTTTCCTTTTAATTCCAGGATGACAAAGAATATGGTAATTTGAGATAGAAATAAGTCTCCCACATCATTAAAAATCTCAAAATTTTAAAAATGTTCAAAATTTTACATGTTTGGATGTTTTATTATGTTTGTCCTAAGGATCATGTCTATAATTTATTTGGGTTGCGAATCATATTTTATTCAAATATAAATCAAACCAAAATATTTATTTTATTTATAGGTGGGAAGCAGAATCTCTTTTTTTTTTCCCCTCTTAAAAATGGGGTAAAAATGGAGTAAATGCTTTTTTTTTTCTAGCAGCACTAAAGTAGATACTAGGTTTGTTGGTTTTTTTTTTAAATTAAATAACTGATTATAACTTGATAATTATTATATCATTTAGGCCCCAAATCCTAGATCTTTGAAAATGCATTTTGCTGCTTGAAGGGTGGGTGTTCCTGATCTGATTGGGACCTGGAACATCGAGTTCTGGTCATGGAGAGCTGTGGGGGTGTGTGATAGGCTTAGTGGAGGGGACCTGTCCGAAACGTACAGTGATCCTCCCTGCAAGCCAGGGCTTGGCTTACTGAGTCTCCCCCATTTCCCAGTGATTTGGGGCTTGCTGCTGGACCTCTCGTGGCTCTGACGAGGCGGTGCTCCTGGGGCCAGCTGGTGTCCACAGCATCAAGTTGCAGAGCTTGCTGGGCTCTTTCGTGGCAGACAGCTCCTGTCTCCTGAGCACCCGGACACTTGCCCCAACCCCAAGTCCACTTGAAAGAAATCTGTTATTGCTTCAGACTTAATGAACTGGTTCTGTTGAGGATGGCCACAATGAAGTCCCTCTGCAAGCTAAATAGGAAGGCTTTTATGGGTCACAGATGGTTTGTGGATTGCACTTTGGGAACCTCTGATGCAGCGCTGAGTCCTGCATGGCTGCCTTTTATTTCCTCCTTATGAAAAGAGTTGCTGACTACTTGCCACACCATATAGTGCCGTAGGGAGGTTTAGGCCATCTAAGGGCAGAGGTCTTTTCAAACAGTCTGGTGTTCTCTCTTTCCCCCCCCCCACCCCTTACTTCAACAAGCTGCTTGAGGATCTAACACCACCTTTGGGAACACAGAAAGCAACTTGCACCATAACTTGCAGTGCCCTTATTTGGGCTCTCTTAGGTCTAGTGAGCAGGCAGTGCCAGGTCTTACAGGTCTCAGTTCTTGATCCATCTTGCATAGATAAAGTTTTCTTGGTTTTCAGCTGATTTAGGGCTGAGTATTGTAGTTTTGTTGTGTTTTTGGTTTTGTGTTTTTTTTTTGTTTGTTTTTTAAAGAAAACTAAAAGTCTGAGAAATGGCTTAGTTAAATGTAGAACTAGTTAATCACTGATTCTCACTGATTAGTCATGCTTATTTTCAGAAGTCAGTAATGTGTTTTCTTAATAAGATATTTAAATATACGTTTTTAAAAAAAGTCACATCTAGCTTCTGTCTTGCCAAGTGACCACAACAGTATGTTGATGTTGTTACCCATTATGGGTATAGTCAGAAGCATTTTATTATTAAAATAAAATTAACATGTAATAGCTTCATTTGTAGAAACTCTTGAGAACAGCTGTCATAACAAATTTACTATCAAAGTGAAAAAAGTGATCTTTAAACACTGTTATATGATGATGTTATACAGTGTTCTGTTTGCTGATTATTTTTTTCCATTTAAATAGACACAGGAATTTTAAATGTATGTTGAGAGGTGTTACAAAAAGATATCAAAAATCACTTTGAGGAGATGATAGTTGGATGTGTTAAAGAACCAACCACACAGCAATCTCTTCTTATCTGTTCGAGAAGCACAGCTTTCCCCCCTTCCATGCAACTGCTTAGTCTGTTATGTTAGAAAACTTAATTGACTACTTCTGGAAAAGGTATCAGCTTGGCAGTAAGAGGATGTATGCTGAGACAATTCTATCTCCCCTCTGCCTTCTCTCTCTGTTGCTTTCTTTTTGCCTTCCCCCTGCCCCCCTCTTTCTATTTTTTTAAAAATTTTTTTTATTTATCCTGTGTGGTTACTTTCCAAGTATTCCGTGGCTTCAGTTCTTGGAAAAAAACATTTGTATGCGCCTAGCAGAAGGAGGTCTCTGTCCAACTTGAAGGTGCTGGGACAGCAGTATTGAGGATATTACTGTATAACTTGCCCTGCTTGATACTGACTTTTTATTCTTCTCTCACATAAACCTGATATATGATGAGTATCACTATTTGGTGGGAAATGTGGATCATTTAATGAGCACAAAATATGTCATAATAGCTGAATAAATGGAGTGCAATGACAAGAATAGTTTAAAAAAATGTGTGTATGTGCATATTGTGTGTAAGCATTTATTTATAACATATGCTGGCAATTGGAGAAGAGAAATGGCAGCTAAAATTCATAAAACTGTTTCTTTTCTTTCTAGAAATGATCAAAAATTGCACCAATTTCTCCTTGATGATATAAATATTTTAGTCTTTGCGTAACAGTTGAACTTAAACTGAAAAAAAAATGCATTTAAAAATGCTTTAGGTGGCATCTGTGATATTAAACTAAACTCTGCCTGGACTTTTCTGTGGCCCTGAAGCCAAGTGCCTTGGTCAGGCTGTGTCTGTACTAGTAAGCTGCCTCAGCCTCCAAAACTGCGAGGCCACATTTGAAAACTGTCTTTTGGGAACAGTCCTTGAACTGGCCTGACTCCCAAAATGTTGTCTGGGTGTCCCATCCAGTGTTTAATTTATTATATGTAGACACTGTCTTTTTTTCCCTAAGGAACCTCAGGTCTTGCAGCTTCCATCTTAAACCGATGAAAAGCTAATCATATGCTTCTGCAGTGCTTAAACCAATGTTTAAAATAGCTTTTCCATTATAAGCCTGAGTTCAGCATCAGTTTGCTTTCACTAACTTTCAACCATACTTGCAAAATAAAACCCTTCCCTGGATTTTAAATTCTTATTTCATGTCTTTATAAAGAACATATTTTCTGAGTCTCTCTTGAAATATGTTTATTTAAAAACTCCTTGATTATTTCCTTATTTACTTTTCAGATTAAATCCACATCAAGAAGGCTGTCAGACTTCAAAATATTTTGGGGTTTGAACAGCATTTTACTCTTGAACTTGAAGTATTCTGCTTTATTGCCTTTCTTCTGTACAGGTGGAGGGTGGGAAAAAAAGTAAAAATTGGGAAGATGGGGCAGGGAGGTGGAACCTAACCAGAGATGTTTAAATAGGTTTTTTTTTAAAGTATCGAGTTGTGAATGTAGATCAGAATTTGAGGGGGTTTTGTGCTTTTTAAGTAATCTGTTCCTCTTCACAAATCTAGGTGGAACAGTTGCTGAACTAAGCCAGTTGGTAGGATAAGAGAAAGGGAGAGATGGTGGTGTAAAGTCTTGGGAAGAAATATGTAGAGGGCGGTGGAAAAAAAAAAAAAGGGAGGGGAGTGGGTGAAAAAGGATAAGCCTGAGAAAGGAAAAGCCACAACTCATAGTATCTGCTGCTACAGAGCTTCTGTTATGTCTGTGGGTAATGGGGTACACAGGCAGCAAGGGCCGTTGTGCCTTCCTACTGTGATTTATAGTTGCCTGTTGATATTTGTTTGCTTTACAGTTGTAAAGCCTGTAACACTGCCTTGTGCAAGGGTAAGTGTTAAGCATATGAGCTGAAGAGGCTTTTGGTTAAGCTACTGTCTTGTAACAATGGAAAATGGCTTAAAAATTGTGAATACCTGCCTACTGTCTCTGAACTACAGCTGGGGCATTCTTACTTTATAACAGGACAGTGACCAGTGTATTCAGAGGCAGGTTTTCTGCTCTTGAAAGCAATTTATTGAATAACTTAGGGCAATACCTGCACCTTCCTACACTTATGTGAGGGGGGGAAAAAAAATTTAAATACAGCTTTAGGACCCTATAACAATTTGTTATCTTCAAGGAGCGTAGGAAGCAGCAAGGAGTGGATATAATCATAGTACTTAATTACTGAACATTATTGTTGATTTCATTTACGTTATGTTGATTATACGGGTTCAAAAATATTTTACTGTTGGTAAGTAAATGTTTGGTCCAGGACAGAGAGGCAAGGCCTATGTCTAAGTCTTTTCAAGGCTACTAACAGTTTACGTACCACACCTTGCGTGGAATCGTCCTGCAGTCAGAGTCTGGTTCTTGAGCAATATGTGGTGTTCCACATTATGCTGTGCACTCCTAAGGTAGTTTCTGGAAGTGCTGGATTGTCATTAGAAGCATGCATCAACATAGTCTGTGAGGAAAAAATAGTCCTCTGGCTGAATAAATAATATGCAAATAAAATTGTGTGTCTCATACCTAACCAAAATGCTGCATCGATGATCCCAATCCTATTTACCCAAGAATAATGTAAATTCTCGCAGCCAAAGTTCATTTGACCACAGAACTTTACAGAATTCCTGCGGATAACAAATTGGTGTCTTGCAGGCGGTGTTTGTGTCTTTAAAGTGGGACACTCCTACTGAATAAACTCAAAGAAAACATTTATACAGAAATAATTTTCTCAGCTAGTAATTTTCTGCATTTCTGCTTTTGGAAGCTACTGTGTTTTTGTTAAAATTTTATCCCTTATGGCTCTGTTTTGGTTTCCCCATGATTTTTCAGGGCACGTATAACACTGACTGCAGAAAAGAAATTATTGCAGTGTAATACATTATTGTTACTGTAAAAAGATGTCCTCGTTTATATAAATTTATTCTTGGCAGTTTAGAAGACCTGCAAAGAACCTGAGTGCTGAGAGCTCGTGTCCTCTGTTTAAATCATTATTTTTATGTTCTGATGGTATCCTTCATAAGCCATTTTCAGAAATGTAATTTTCATTTACAGGAAGCATTGGTTACAATTCGTCTTCTTGACGTTCTTTGTGAAATGACCTCAAACAACGGACAGCTAGAAGGTCTACAGGCTTTGCCTGGTTTGCTTGAAACAGCCATAGGTGAGTGAAAAGCCACAAGGTTTATTAACCGTTGGATTGCTCCAAATCATGTTGCTCTGAATGAAAACATGTTTTTCACAACTGGTGATAATTATCATTCTGACCTTTTAATAAAATAAATAAATAGGAAGATTGAATTAATCTACGTTTTCAAATATTTGACTTGTTCCTGGAATTTTTCTGCTTCTCTGCTTGCTCTGTTGGCCCCTATTACCCAACAGAGCCTTGATTCAACCGTCAGCAATGCGCTCTTTATACAGGAAGAGTTGGGCAAAGGACAGCTGCCTCCTGTGTTCTTCCACTGCCTGAATGTGTGTGGAGGAATTTCCTCAAGCACTAGAAAAAGGACTTTTCCATGCTTATTCCCTTCTGCTTCCCAAATTTCTGAAAACTGAAAGTAGGTAGGTTGAATGTTCGTAACCAAATTCGTTGGCTTTGAAAGGTCAGTTTGAAAGAAGCTAAGAAACAACAAGCAAAGGGCTGTACACAAAGATAATTAAGCCAGGATGGTCCAGAGGGACCCTGTATACTCAGGGAGGAAGGAGAAGGGGGTATATGTGTACTGACTTGTGCCTTCCTAAATCTTAGTACTTTCTGAGACTGCTGTATGCCACTGTTTTCTGAGAAAATTGTGCAAGTTTATGGATTTTTAAAGAGAAATATACAATATTTTGGCTAGAAAGAAAACGGGTGAAACAGCTGTTAACTGTTACTATTTTGAGATATTTAGAAGGTCCTTGCTGTAAAACAAACCAACCAACCCAAACCAAAGAAAAAAACCCAAACAAAAAACCTACCCCAAAGACTGAAAAATATCCAAACCTCTATTTTTGGTGACAGGTTCATAGTTTTATTGCTTACAGTAAGATGACCAACAAGAAGATGTGTTTTGTGCATGTGTATGTGTTTTGAGGAAACTCAAAGTTACGCATTGTGTCATCTGAATGCTTGTGTCAGTCTTTCAACTTAAACGAGAATTTCAAGGAGCTGCAGATCAGTTAAGCTGAGCAGTTTATAGGCCAGCCCTCCCTTCCCTAGCTGTGCCCAGGCTGACTTTTCTCCACAGTGGTCTCCAGGCTAAAACATTGCTACCTTGTGCATCCTACATATTTCCCACATGCCCTCAGCCAACAGGAATTTATCAACACGTATAGTTTCTCTTGAAGGCTACCTTTTGGCTACAAGACTCCTTTAATCCTGGATTAGCAAAAAGGATGGAAAAACTGTATTGATGTATCACCTTCAGTATTTAGTTCTGAAGACCAGAAGAATAAGGATAGTGTGAAAGGTTTTTATCTAATAGATCTTTTGATGAGGTAGTTCTCATGATACAAACTGAAATTTCCTGTTGGAAATTACTGAAAGGTTGATTGAAGGATCTGAGAAAAAGATCATTCAGATATTAAGCATCAACTAAGGAGTGTGTCTTGCTATTTTCAGTAATTGTTAAAGATTAAGTTAGAGAGTAATTCTGCAAGTGTTAATAATATCTTTAGCACTGTTAACAGCTCGATTGCACAGTGTTTGGGAAATATCACCAGGGAGGGAAAGGATCTTTTGGGCTGAAGGTCGTTTTGGAAGAATTGCTCTCTGGGATGATGAGGGAACGGCAGGCTGAGATGTCCTTTAGTTGAGAGCATGGGGGACATCCCAGGAGCAGTTGCTGCGTTGTGTTGACGTGCGGTGTTTGAGGGGAGCACTCCTCTCTCTGGGTTGGCATCATGCATGGAAGGTGGCTGCTTTCCTTCCACCTTTTCTGTGCTTCCCCTTCCAGGTAGGTGCACTGTTCATTGAGTTTGTCTGCACAGCAATAAAATTTGAAGAGTCTTATTACTTTTTTGAAGGATTTTTGGGTTTGTTTTTAATCCTCTTGTTCAGGGGTCCCTCTTAAGGGCAGGCAGAAGGTTTGGGAAGACCATAGAATTCCCTCTTAGGTGTTTCTATGTGGGAAAATACAAAGACTGTAAGGCAAGGAAACACACAAAGTGGAATGCCACGAGAAGGATATGAGACACTGCTGATTTTTATGAATGTATGGGTTTTAGGGTCAGTCAGGAGATTGACTGATTTTTTTCCTAGTTCAAAGTATGAACAAAAAGAAGTGGTAGCTGTCATACGGGAGGCCTCTAGGCCCTAGTTTAGTAGTTTCATATTTTAAAATATAATAGTTAATAGTTTCATATTAAAAAAACCCCTACCAAACATGTAGTTACCTCTTTATCAGCACAGAGATCTTTTTCTTCTCCTGTATCATCTGGGAGTGAAACTACAATATGAGGACCTATGTAGTTTCTTCTGATTTAAATCCAGGAAATCTACTGCCCATTCCACTATGGAGATGTCATATTTTCAGCAGGAGGGCTTATATAACCTGTGCTATATGTGCTGTAACCTGATTTTTGCTATGTTTTTACTGTTCCACCTTAAGTTTCATGAAGCTTCTGGGGGACAATGGCATACCTGGGCATTTATTAGTATTGCAGGTTGCTTAGAGGAGAAATACTTGTTAATTTTTAAATATAGGCACAGCCTTTAGTGAATTGACTTCTCAGCTCTGTGAGCTCTCAGGTGTTCACATGATTTCAACTTCTCTTCGAGGTGTGGTCTCTTTGTGGAATGTTGTTTTCACAGATTTTAGTTTCCCTTCTCCCCGATTCCTCTCTGGAGCACTGAAGAAAAAAATCCTAGTTGCTGTAAACTAGCATTTACCATATAGGAACATTAGTATTTCTTAGCTGACAAGATTAAGGCACTGAAAGATGTGTAAAAATGTGTCAAGGTGCTAGATGTACTCAAAATCTTTCTTATACTCCAGGGTTAGGAACAGACTGGAGCAGAGAGGAAAAAAAAATAAATCTGTGATTAGTATGTATTGCTGTGACAAGTTGGAAATAAAGGAAGTTTTCTAAAAAACTTGGTTTTAGCAATATATTTACGGTGCCAGAGTCATCAACAGCCTACAAATTCTGACTCTTCAGGTAGAGACTGATGGCACCAGCCTTCAGACTTCATGTCTGAACTATGTAAGTGTGTAAAAAGGACACACAAATACCTTCTGCCATGGCCTTTTATGGTTATACTAGGATAAATTAAGAAATTAAGGAAACTTTCAAAGTTCTTTGACATATTGCTGAATGTCTGAAATTATATTGATTAACTTTTAACCTAAGAGTCGTAGAGCTCTGTGTAAAGTGATACTAATTTTCATGTAGTAATTAAAATATTCTTGTTTTCTGTAGATACTCTGAGATTAACTCATCTTGCTGGGAAACAGGCTGTAAATATTTTCACTGCCACACATATGACAGGGCAAGAAGAAATTTCGCATCCAGCTGTGGGTTTTAAATCTCATCTCATTCGTTTGATTGGAAATTTGTGTTACAAAAATAAGAAAAACCAAGACAAGGTAAGTTTATACATTTTTCTGGCAGAACTCTGACATACCTGACTGTGATTTTACTGATATACTGTTGACCTGTAAATAGAGATTAAAATTGGTCATGTAAAGGAGATTTTTTTTTTCATTGTTAGCGTTTTTGAATTATTATCACAGGTATGCTAACTTTTAATAACAATGTGATGTGTGTCTGTCTACCTTCTACTTCAGTCATATAAAATTCAAGGCAGTGCCTAACTCCTTTATTGTATTAATTTCTGCACTTTCTTTGAAAAGATAATATCTGAGACTAAACCTCAACTTTGCTTTGAAGAAATGGATGAGAATTGTTACATGAACAATTTTAAATCTTTGAATTAGTCTCTAATGCTTTTTCCCCCTTCTCACCCCTTCCCTAATATTTTTTATTAAAAATGTAGGTCTGCTTCCATCCAATCTCAGTAGCCTCAGCTTGGTGAAAAGTTTCTGTTTCTCTAGTTCTTCCTTGTTATAGAGAAACCCTCTGATTTCTGTATCTTCCTTTTCTCATAGAGGTGTCATTCCTTACGGCAGCCTTGTCCTGGAAGGAAATGGTCTTGAGTAGCCTTTGTTATTGATATTTGTTATTGAATAAGGAAATTTGGGATTGTTTTCCTTTCTTTATTAATTTGAATAAAAATTTTCACCTGCTCTCATGCAAGCAATTTTTAGCCTGAAAAAGTGAAAAACACAGAAGAAGGGCTGTATCAAAGAAGGATTAAAGGAGATAATGGAGTATTTTACTTCTCTTTTATGATGTCAAATGAGACCCATGTCAGCAAGCACCAAAACCACAGTAAATTAATAGTGTTTATTCTGCAGGGAGCTGTGTATGATGAGATACTCTTGAGTCTAATTCTGTGTTGTGAAGGAGCTATCGAGACATCAAGTACTGAAAAATCCATCTCTTGTTAGAAGCTTCTGTTTCCTAAATTTTTAATTTTTTTTTTTTGCGATTACTTTATTTTACAAAGATAATAGAATCTTTTGTATGATGCCATCAGCTCTGCTTTCAACAGCTTCAGTGTCTACCAAGTTAGACTTTTTTATAGTGGCAGCAGAGCATTTTCACCGTATATGAGAGCAGCACTCCCATTTCCTTGTCGTTTTTTTTTTTCTGCAGAGAAAAGGAAAACCTGTGGAATGCTACCCTCTGTCTGACAAAAAATAATAATATGTGTATATAGATGGGAAATAGGGTAATGATCCTCCCTTTCCCCATTCATATTATAGTATATAATAAAAGGTTTTAATATTTCTGAAAAATACTATTAATCCCATTAATCACTCTTGCATAGCTTTGTCTCTGACCGTTATGATGTAATATGTGTTTATATAAGTGAAATACATTTTTGTGGAATACCTTATGATAGTGGAGGGGAGGGTGTTGCTTTCATTTTGAAAGGGTTGATTTACTGCTTATTGTTCATTTTCGCTCGGATTTTCAAAGGCCCCTGGAGCAATTAGGCATGCAAGCTTGGTGTTTTCAGTGGAAGTTGGGTATTAACTTGCCTTAAACTGCCTGCAAATATTATTGCTTTATGCTGTCTTGAAAATTACTTAAGATTCTGGTGTGTGATATCATGGAACATTATTTAAGTACCGTTGAAACTTTAGAAATGCCAATAGTATGATATCCTGTCTGCACCTTCAGCTTCTTTCATAAAATTTAAATTGGTTCTAATAAATGCACTTGTTTTTAAGGCAGTTTCCATACGTACACACATGTTTGTGAGGAAAGCAGCCCATATCACTGCCCAGACAAGAAAACTGAAGTTTTGAGATGAATGAACTGTTCGAAGCGGTGCATGGGTCAGACCTAGAACTGGATGAAAATGGGGTTAGTTCATGTGTTCCCACATCTCTCTTCACAGTAGTATCTCACAATATATGTCGTCTTTTATATCCATTATTGAGTTTACACAGAGTTTACTTTCTATATTCAGTCAGAAGTAATTTAGTACAGGGTAGATTGTGGGGTTTTTGTATAGCAAGTCAACTGATCAAAGCATCTGAGAGACCTTGGGCTTTACCATTGATTGTTGGTTTTGTGGGACTTACCATGGGAATTGTAGGCACAAGATGGGGAAGTGGCTTCCTCTTTGGTCAGTGTAGCTGGTTGCTTAGCATGAGAGGGCTGCACATCACTTACCAAAGGCTCCTGACCGGCAATGTTAATATTCTGATTCTTAAATGAACTGAGGCTTGCACACTTGTTTTCTCTAATATTTTTCTGTAATTTCCACTCCTAGCAGAGCTCTTTTCCCAGTAACAACAATAATGCTGTAGTAAATTAAGTAATAGCACACTACTAATAACAAGTAATAAAAAAATACAGCCTCTAGTTTTATAATATAACCTTGTTTGGTGTTGCTCTGCATGACTTATTCTGAAAACATAAGTAGTTCCCAAAGACCTGGGGCTCAAACGTGACTTGAGCTAAGCCCTCCAAGTGGACAGAGTTGCATCACTGTTTTCAGGAGCTTCTTCAAGAGCCGAGTGACATCCTGCTTGTTCTTTGTGAGGTGGGTTTTGGAGGCAGCCTACACCTCAGGCAGTGTGCCTCTCCTGAAGTACAGTGGTGCAGTCCTACTGTGTCGGGCACTGGTGACACAGGTAAAGCAACAGTGAAAACCTGGAGGGGGAGAAGAATTGCTCGGCAAAGGCTGCTTCTTCATTTCTGTTCATGGTCTCTGCCTGCTGTAAGGGCAATAATTACAGGGGATTAGTGCACTGCCTTGTTGGCAGTGGTGAAAAATATTGTAATGCTTTGGAACAGAGAAATATCTTACGAGTGCTTTGTTGCTTCTTCGCTTTCTGTTTAAAACCATTCTTTGTTGTTAACAAGCATTCTTTAGCTTCTACTCTGTTAGCATTAGGAATACATTCTTTACATCTTTTCTTCCTCATAGTTTTACTTACACTGTTGTGATAAGTTCTTAAGATATAAGGGAGTGGGCAGACATGTAAACTGAGATGCAATTATTAAAATAGGTCTTGCCAAGCTTACTGCCCACTTGGATGGGTTGGTATTTGTAAGAAAAGTGTCTGGTAAAATGTTCGTTTTGGACTCATAAATGTTTTGTATGTGGATGTCCAAGTTACACAGAGTCTTGCATGAAAAGCAGAGAAGAGCAGATAGAAATGCTGAACTCGGGACACTGAGTGTTGTGTTGAACCTGCCAAGAGTCTACGATGGATGTGCAGTTCTGCATTCAGAGGTTTCCAGAGTTCTTGTCATGCATGTGGGGCAGTCCTGCGGCTTCTGTTTTGTTACATCTCCTTCACAAAGCTGGATTGTACGTTTTGAGTAAATATACTGGAAGGAAAGAGGTGGGATCTCGGGCTGAGCAAGGAGTGGGGTTTTTGTCTGGTAGATGATGAAGTTATCCAAAGGAAATAGTGAAAATTCCCCCTTACTCCCCTCACCTTGTTTGACTTGCCTTCTAAACACCTCAGTTTTATCATCTGGACAGAATTTATACTATTTTCCAGGGGGGGGAGGCTTTAGACCCTTATTTTCCACTCTCACTTTTAAAGATCTGAAGTGATGGATTCAGTGCAGCTCTTTCTGCTTGTTTAGTAGAGTGGACTTGTTCATTTTAATAATGAATAAAACTTATGAAAGAAACCTAATGAATGAAGTATAGAGGATGTAATTCTTTACTGTAGAAATGAAATACAAAATGGGTCACAGCAATTAATCTGGGTCCCTATTTCTTTGTTCATTTACAAGACTATGTACTGGAAGGTGAGTTGATTAATCTCTGCCGTATTGTGACAGTTAGCGCCGCTCTGCACAACCTTATTTCCCTGAAACGTTTATCTTGTGAGGTGTTTAAAATAGTTGATTTAATTGCAAGTGTCATCAGTACTTGAATAAGCAGTGGAATAATGTAGACCTTATTCTGCATCGTTTCCCTTTCTCTCTTGTAAAAGCTTCAATCATGTAACCTTGCTGGAAGTAGTAAATAGGGAATCGAAAGGAAGTAGAAAGCTTGACAAAGTTTAATTGCAGTCTTTAGTCACTGTTCACTCTGGTTCACTATTACCTCGGAGATCAAACAGGGGAATCTGAATTGCCTGGGGCTTGTGTCCTGTGAAAACCATTACCAAGGATGCAGCGCTGTCTGGAACAGGCGAGATGCGAGACATGAGCTGGTTCCTTGCAACGGGGGAGCAGCCAGCTGGCAGAACATCCATGTGCTGAGATCATGCTGTACTCTTGCCTTCTGAGAGGGATCCTGAAGGGAAGACTGTGACGTTTCTGAGTGCAAAGTTAGGCTTAACTTAGTAAGAATAAAGCGCTTAGTTTGGGTTTGGAGCTGTAATCTGTTTGCATTGGCTTTGCCATCTTTGACTGACTCTTGTTACTAATAGGATGGGTAGTATATTGCTACCTGCTTACTTTGTCTAGCAATATAGTTTGATATATGCCCAGAGATCTCTATCCCCCTGCAGAATAGTGAATACACACAAGTATATCTCTGAGATGTCTCTTTTTTTTTTTTTTTTTAATCAGGTGGTTAAAAGCAAAACCAATCCCTTCAGGAAAAGAAAGCAATCCATACCCTTATGCCAAGGACATTGTAGATACCTGGGATGCTGATGGACCCAATGACAGAGTGTTAAATCTCTGAACATGTGTGTTTCATTGGTAAAGTTATCCTATTGTTTATGTAGGGGAAAAAGTTTTAAATACAGAATTGTCTTTGGTACTGGCACCTTCTTACCTGAACGGAATCACTCTAATGGGGTGAACAGTTTATGAGGGCAATTTTTTCACATGCCTGTTTTTTATTGGAGGTGACAGCAATGCTTCTGCTAATGCAATTATATTGGTTTTTGTCAATGCAAAGTTGAGAAAGGAAATGCTCTGCAAGAGAAGGGGAGAAGAAAAGCTTCTACAGTTAAAATTAATCTTAATAAAAGCAGCAATTAAAACAACTGGATACTGTTTAATATAACTTGAATTTTTTTTATGTATACAT